CTCGATCTCTTCATTCTTTTTATCTATACATTTTTTAATGTGAAGTATTAATTATTTTTAAAATTTAAAAGAATTAATTAATATTCACAACCGATATGTATAAACGAGTCATATGTTTTTCACATCCATTTTTAAACCCCATTCCCGAAAAAAAAAATCACTCACTAAAAAAATGAAATAGATTTTTTTTTCAACCAAGCAAAATGCCTATTAAAAATTTAAAAGTTTGTTACCCTAGTTTGTTTTTCTAGTATTATATATTACGGAGTATTTTTTTATTTTTATTTTCAGTTGATATTTGTCGATCTTTTATTATTAAGTTAAGTTAATTATATTAAAAATGAATGTAGTACGGAATAATAATTTGATAAATTGGCATATGCAAATCACTATTTGTAGTTTGAAAAATATGAAATTAATGTGAGAGATTACACAGTGGAGGTTATGCCCTCAACCCTTTTTGCTCTTTTCTTTCTCTTTTGTATTTACAAAAAACACTTGGAATTGTGAGTTTGATCTATTAGACATAATAACTAAGAATAGAAAAATAGGTAAACTTCGTGAATACATCAAGGGCCATGCTATTTGTATACCATATCTGTATATCATTAATTTGTATACCAAAGTTTTGTACTAACACAAAATGTAAGTGCATGCAACACTGTCATACTATCAGTGCAAAAGTTTGGTGTACAAAAAGATATGCAAATGTAGTGTACATGAAACATTATTGTCAATTATGTTGCGGCACAATTATTAAGAAGATCAATAATAACATTTTAGGTAGATCCTAGATCAATCTAAGGGCATGTTTGGTTGGGAGCTAGGGAGGAGAGGGGAAGGAAATCCTGGGAAGGAATGGGAAGGGATGAGAGGATTTCACTTCACCTTGTTTGGTTTGAAGATGGGAAGGAAAGCACTAACTTTTATTTTAAGATTTTTATTTTCCATTTTTATTATTTAATATTTAATTATTATTTATTTCATGCATTTTTGTTTCTAATAATTTCATTTATATATATATATATATTTATTTATTTATTACATAGTATTATTATTATTTTTATTGTTGTTGATATTGTTATTATTATTAATATTACTATTGTCATTTTTATTGTTGTTGTCATTTAGTTTTTTGTTTATCTATTACTTTATTTTTTAATTAATAATTTATATATTTTATTTTTTATTGAATACTTTTATTCATACATTTTTTATAATTATTATGGAGTATTATTTTATATTTTTTAAAATATTTTTATTTTTTGATATTATTTATTATTAATTTTTTATTTTTTATTACTTACTTATTTATTGATATTATTATTATTATTATTTTAAATTTATTTTTTAATGAAAAGACAAAAAGAAAATTGACATAAGAGCGGGAAGAAGAGCGGTGGGAATGAGAAACCCTGTGGTTTGTAGATATTGACTTGAGGAGAGTGAAGTGATTTGAAAATTCTTAGACTTTCTCTCCTTCTCCAAAAGGTGAAACCGCTCACCCCCAACCCGACGAGAATGTGAGAGGAGGTAAATCACGGTGACCCAATCACAACACTTAGCTAGACCATATCCTAGTGCGCACCAGAGACTCCCCCATTTTTCAAAGGTGGTCGCCCTCACAACGGTCGCTGCCAGGTTTCGATCCTTGGTCATTCTCCAAACTTCACCAAGTGCTTGCCACTTGGGCTACCCGTGTGGGTGACTTTCTCTCCTTCATTGTTTATAGATTAAGGTATTTGTACACTAAAATTTGTATCTCATTTTGTACCCCAAAGACATGTACTGATATTTTGTACTAGTGTGAACCATTAAAACAAAGGGAAGAACTTAGTTTCTCTCTCCTCCCCTCCGTTCCAACGAAACAGAGCCTAAGGCTATTGGGTGTCGTGTGTGCCATCCCCACTATATATCTTAATTTTCCAACTTGGTATTACGTCAACGTTTCTTATTTTATCCTGGCCTCATTTCATCCTCATTCAGAGATGCGGTGTGTTAGTTCTTTTTTTTCTTTTTTAAATATTAGTGTTATAATATTTTATTTAATTTTTAAACTAAAGAACAAAAATAGAAAATAAAAAAATTTAATTACAAACTAAAAAAACTAAACTTACAAATCAAAAAAGAAGACGAATCTGAAAAGAAAAATAAGGAGGAGGAGGAGCTCGTCACGATGTAGAGTATATCTAACGTACTTATTGTAATAACTTTCTACATATTTTATCTTCTCCACTGATAAAACAATCCAAAAGGGTGTCCTTTTTTTGCTCAACCAAACTGATAAAGTCATCTTGAAACACCTGACGAGGCGTCTAGCTTGAAATTCTACTATCCCATTCTCACTCTAAAGTGAAGAAAACAATCCCATTGGATTAACCATTTTATAATTTCCTTCGAAAAACACTAGGGCCTTTATAGTTAAAGCTAACATATTGATACGGTATCGTATCGGGATAGGGAAGGTTGAGCATCTTCGAGCTATAGAATCGAGGAAAAGGGGGAGATTGAGAAGGGAGAGGGGAAGACGGCCGTTAATCGGCGAGGAGGAGAGATGGAGTTTAGGGTTAGGAAAATATCTCTTTATTGATTGAATAATAAACTCTACATAATGGCTACATATATAGATGGTTGATCTAAAGAGTCCTAGCCATAAAAGGTAACTAAATAAATTAAAATACTAATAACCTAATATAATAATACTTCCTAATAATAATATAATTATCTAACCATAAATAATAATAATAGTAATATAATAATAATGGTAAATAACTAAATATAGTCCTGTATTACTCTTCCCGCCTCGAAAACCAACTTGTCCTCAAGTTGGAAATCAAATAAAGAACGGGAAAAAATGCACCGTTCATCGTCCATCCTCCGGGGTCAAGCACCTTGATCCTTGGAGCACCAAAAGAACGAGTCACGCCTTCATAAAATTCAATTTGTCCCCGTAGAACTTTCTTGAGTAAACCAAGAACTTTGTCCAATAGAGAATCCATTGCCAAAAAAAACACCACCACACAAAAATAGAATTGAATTTTGTGGCTGATTTTTTTTTTGTACAAATTTTTTTTGAATGAGTTCAAGAATGAGAGCACCAATTGATACGGTATCGTATCGGGATATGGAAGGTTGAGCACCTTCGAGCTATAGAATCGAGGAAAAGGGGGAGATTGAGAAGGGAGAGGGGAAGACGGACGTTAATCGGCGAGGAGGAGAGATGGAGTTTAGGGTTAGGAAAATATCTCTTTATTGATTGAATAATAAACTCATGCATAATGGCTACATATATAGATGGTTGATCTAAAGAGTCCTAGCCATAAAAGGTAACTAAATAAATTAAAATACTAATAACCTAATATAATAATACTTCCTAATAATAATATAATTATCTAACCATAAATAATAATAATAGTAATATAATAATAATGGTAAATAACTAAATATAGTCCTGTATTACATATTTCCAAATATCTCGGCGTTAGATCGTGTTAGTCTTAATATGGACGCTAAACCCTAACACTTGGGAGGTAGACAGAAGCATCTTCTTTTACTTTTGGCCTGGGAAGCAAATAAGCAATCACACATGATCCATCTTACCTACCTCCAATAATACCGTCTAGCACGAGAACCTATTGTTATGCATCCGGCACCGATAATAATAATAATAATATGATTATTATTATTGTTGTTGTTGTTGTTGTTGTTGTTATTATTATTATTATGCATCCAACTACCTACAGTCGAGATTTATCCACGCATGGCTCTAAAATCACTTACCTATTTCTTAGGGACCTAATTGTAGCATCACGGTATAAATGGTAAAATATACATAGATCTATTATGGGTCTGCATCCAAAATGAGATAATATATGTTCTTATTTTTATTTACTATCCGAAATTTATAAAGCCATAAAAAAGCAATTTTTAAAGAATATGGATTTCAAACCATGACTTTATAAAAATCTTAATTGAAGCCCAAATAACTTCATAAGACAAAGGTTTTAGTGGCTCAAGTATTGAATCATCTTAGTTTGCCAATCTTTTTCACCACTGTCTCCGTCCCCTATAAATCTTTCCATTATGTGTTATTACACTTGATTTGCTTTATTTTTAATTCAATTTAGTTGATTTTACTCGTAAATGATACTCCATCCGTCTACAAATAAACTTCCCGTTCACTATTCACAGGGTCAAATTTTATTCACTTTGTTGGCATATTTTCGTCACCCACTTGATAAAATAATATAGTCATGTCACCTCTAATTTTGTAGATCTTTTGATATAGTTTTTTAATATGTAATTTTTATTTTTAAATTTTACAATATTTTTCATATAAAATGATTTGAAAATAACTTTAATTAAACATCATAATGCCCTTGTTTGGATGTTGGCTGTCAGCTGTTGGTTGTTGGCAGTTCATGTCAGCTGTTGTAAATGGCTGTTTAGTTCAGCTGGTTTGACCTGCAGGATAAATTGGCTTATTGTTAAAAATATTTGGTAAAATTAGTTGTTTGAAAATAAGTGTGTGTGTGTGTGTCTATATATATATATATACACACACACACACATATATATATAGACACACACACGATCCTTATTTTTTATTTTTTTACATGTAAAAATTAAATCTTTACTATATGGAGCATTAAATTTTACTTTCATTTAATTCATAAGAAATTATTAATATACAACTTTTTAATGATTTTTACTTTTTATTTTCTCATTTCATGTTTTTGAAATTTTTAATTTTTAAATTTTATTTTTTTCAGTATTTAATTTTTTGATCTTTTATTTTTATTTTTAGTTTTTAAATATATTATAAAATATCTTTCAAGAAAAATGCTTTTAAAAAATTAATGTTTCTAACAGCCAAGTCCAAATGCTACTCCCCTTGGCATGTTGGATTTTGGCTTTTCGGATCAAAATGCCAAGTGAAAAAACCATTAGTCAAATATGCCAAAAGCTATCCAAAAAGCCGTTTTCCAAACAGGGCCAATGTACAGCAAGAAATTTATTTGTGGACGGAGGGAGTATATTAAGCATAGAGAAAGCATCATCCCCTCCTTTTCTTTAGTTCGTTGTCATCGGAGAAGAGAGCCAGTCTCAGTCTCAAACGTCGCAGCGTTTCTTTCTCAGCCGGCAATCTTACTTCGAAATCAAGGTACGACTGTAACCCTTTCTCAATTCTACCTCATTCTAATAACAGCTTCGAATAACTCTCAAATTTTCTAGGTTTTTCTTGCTTCGTTTAATTCCAAGAAAATGCAGGGATCTTATTTCCCGATTAGTTCGAGATTTGGGTCTCGGATAAAAGATTTAGTTTGAGATTTGGAAATTCACGACCCAGTATTAAACAAGCAGTTTCTTCAATTTTGGAAGAATAACGAAACCCTGGATAAAATTAAAACATTCATTTGGGGTTTTGGCAAGAAAAAGGGGGTCGTTATCCCTTCTCTGAAACTTATGGCGATTAACCAAATTGAGTTTATACTGGTGATTACTGGGCATGCGTTTTGATCTTTATTCCGAAAAGAACTAAGTCCATTCTTCAGTTTTTCGTAAAAGGCAATGCCTTTCTTGGAATTTAAAGCATTCAATTCTATATCTTGGAAAGTAAGAATCTTTAGCTCTCTCTTTGCAATTGTTTTAAGTGTAAAAACAAATTTCTTTATAAAACTTGCCTTCTTTTTTTTTTTTTTTTGTTGAAAATGAGCTTAAAACATTAGTCTCGTTGTAAAGCTAGTTTTCTGGTCCCAGAATTGAGTATTTCAGGGTATGGGTTTTCACAACTTGGGGGTGTAGATTTGGAAAATCATTTAATGGTATGTTTGGAAACATGGATTTGGATTTCAAATCCGGATTTGGCTTAAATTCCATGTTTGGGAAACTTAAGCATTTTGAATTTGGATTTGAATCAAATTCTTTACATTCAAAACAAAGCTTAATTTGAAATCCGTGCACCTCCCCTTGTCATTTGAAATTCAGAATTTCAAATTTTGGAATTGAAATGCATCAATTGAAATGAAATGCTATTTGCCAAACACTACCTAAAATTATNTGGGGGTGTAGATTTGGAAAATCATTTAATGGTATGTTTGGAAACATGGATTTGGATTTCAAATCCGGATTTGGCTTAAATTCCATGTTTGGGAAACTTAAGCATTTTGAATTTGGATTTGAATCAAATTCTTTACATTCAAAACAAAGCTTAATTTGAAATCCGTGCACCTCCCCTTGTCATTTGAAATTCAGAATTTCAAATTTTGGAATTGAAATGCATCAATTGAAATGAAATGCTATTTGCCAAACACTACCTAAAATTATTTTCAAGTACTCAAAGCAAACCCTGAAATCTTGATGACAAATACCTCTTGAACATTTAATTTTATGAAATCTATTGTTAAACAGAGGTCATCATCTGGCCATGGTTGTAATAAAAGGGACGCTCTGCCTTATGCTTAGTATAGAATCCAGTTTATCCACAATAGTTTATAATATAATAACTCCTTTTTATATAACTAATGAGATTAATTCAACTACTTATGATTATAGGCTAAAATGTAATATTGTGAATTGATAACCCACTCACTTGTGTAATGTCGTGATAAGACTTTACTCTAGCTTTCCAAATTGTCCATGAAGGATTCCAAACTGCCCAGAGCTGGTGTTTCTTCGTTTTCCGAGGTGAACAACCTCTGGTTAGCCGTTCGTTTCTTCTAGGACATGAATTAGTTCGTCCAGAAGGTAAAGGTGACTATGCTTGGACGTGATATAATTCTATAGGGGTAGGATATGTGATGGTGAAGGATAGGCTCAATACACTCTTTCCCTTCGGCGTATCAAATTGATGAGCAACCTCTAGTTATATATGGGGGTAGTTTCTTCCTTTCTTAATTATGTAGATGGGTAGGCCAAACTTTCATCAATTGCTTTGTTTCCTTCATGCAGTAAACTTGTGGAGGTAGAAGGGCTAGGGTCCATCACTCCCAATGAAGAAAGTGACTAACCAATTTGATATTTTTACTACTTGGCAGGATCATGTGGAGGGGGAGGCAGTGTTCTGCTAGTTCATCAAGACCCATGGCAATTAGGGTTTTTAGATCTCTCGTTTCTTCAAGACCCAATTCCTTCGACCTTAATCTTCTTCGGCACTTCTCCGCAAAGGCAAGAGGTCCAAAAGTGAAATCCCAAATTCAATATCCTCTAGACTTCCCCCAAAATCCCCCCCAAAGGAATCTTACATCAGTTTCTAATCTACTCAAAAGGTATGGATTTCCTCTGTCTGAACTGCATGATTTCCTTGCAAAAAATCGATCTTTACTGAATTCTGACCCCTCCAAAATTGAGAAGTCTCTTAAAATTCTGTTTTCCCTGGGACGCTCCCAAGAATTTCTTACTTCTGTGATTGGTAGCTGCCCTAGGGTGTTAGAGTATGAATTTATGAAGAAATGGGAAACGGGAGTTTCTGGAATTGAGGGTATAAAACTTTCTTCGTTGGCTATTAAGAATGTTCTGGAAGTTTGTTTGAAGTTTGAACTACAACCAAATGATGTTTCTGCTTGTCTGAAGTGTTTGCTGGCTTCGAAGTTGAGTGACAGTACTGTTGTTAAGGTTATAGAACAATTCCCTACAGTTGTAGTGACTAGTCCGGATAGAATTGAGAGGAAAATTGAATTCTTGATGACTGGCCTTGGAATAGCAAACACCGAGCTCAGTCATATTCTAGGGTCCTACCCTGGTGTATTGGCATTTGGGGTAGACAACAGGCTTAAACACTTGTTGAATGAATTTTCAAGCCTCGGTTTCAGCTTGGATATAGTAAGGAGGGAGGTTTTGAGAGACCCACAGATTCTTGGGTTGGAAGTTGGTGAACTTTCTCATTGCTTGAATGTGCTAAGGAGTTTAAAATGTAGGGCGTCCATTAAGGATGAGATTTTTCAAGACGGAGCATTTAGGGCTGGATATCAAGCCAAGCTGAGAGTTGATTGCCTCCACAAACATGGTTTAATACGTAGAGATGCATACCGCGTGCTATGGAAAGAGCCAAGAATAGTTTTATATGACATTGAGGAAATTGAGAGGAAAATCCAATTTTTGGTGCAGACAATGAAATTTGATGTTGAGAGTCTAGTTGACGTTCCAGAATACTTGGGAGTGAATTTCGAGAAACAGATTGTTCCAAGATTTCAGGTTATTGAGTATCTGAAATCAAAGGGCGGGCTTGGGGATGAGGTGGGGCTGAAAGCCTTGATTAGGCCTAGTAGATTGAAGTTTTACAATCTCTATGTGAAGCCTTATCCAGAGTGCGAAAGCATTTATGGGAAAGTTGCAGGGGATGTTAGGGACAAGCGCGGACATCCTACTGGGTTATGGAAGGTTTTCCGACCACCCCAGCACCAGCCCTCCAATGAAGATGTTATGAACATCAAGTCTTTCATGGATTCCCTATCTTTCAAGAAAGATGATTCTGTGGACCCACCCAAGGTACACACCTAAAGTTGCTAGGCTTAGAAGCTGGCGTGGAAAAAAGGCCCGTTTTGCTCAAGATGATGTGGAACAAGCCGAGTGTGAGTTAACAAACCAAAATTGACGCTCACAAATCATTCTCAAAAGAGGTTGATGACATTGGCACATAGATAATCTGAGAAGGCAAAAGCGCTTGGGGAAGAACGGAACTCCATTGATGCTGAAAATGTTGGCGTTGGAAAATTAGATGTCGCAGGAGCAAAAAAGCAAGAAAGGGGAAGAAACAAGGAGGGAACCGGGGGAGAAAGCAGCGAAAATGAAGAAGAGTTAAACGAAATGGAAAGGAAAAGATTCGGAGGAAAAAGAATAGGTAAACAAAAGATCAATATGGAACAACCCTGAAAAAGGCAAAAAGTGTCAAAGACAGAAGACTTCAAAGACAAAAGGTGGCAAAAGATCTATTCTAAACTTTTTTCTCTTAATTGCTTATTTTACTAGTAGTTTATTCTTTTTGTTTCTAATTGAGGTGGCTCTTAAATCAGGGTTCATAGTTAGCAATATGTGGAGTAAAAGAAGCTAATTTTACTGCATGCATTTTAGCTTAGGATTTTACATGGAATCAAGAAGTCCATTTTGATCTATGTAAGTTTTTCATCAGTTTATATAGCATATACTCTATGAGAATAACTAATACTTTTTTTTTTTTAAATATTATCATATATATCACTATTATCTTGTAGGACAAGAAGCCTATGGTTGAAGTAATACTCGAAGACTATTAAGAACATTGTGGTTAAAATTCTCTTTTCGAGTCCCCTTCCGATGTTTTCCATTGTTTGTTTGTTTGACGATTTATGCTTGTACGAGAACGTACGTTTGGTTGGCGTGCGTGCCAATTGGATCCCATTTTGATGGTTACGTGGCGTTGTTTTTGGAGGTTTAGACGATTTCTTCACAATTCTTCCCCATCGTAAACATTTCTCTAGCCTTTGCAAGAATTCTCACAATTTCTTTTCATACTCAAAACTTCGAGGCTATTTTTATTCCCTCAATTCGGATATGCAGGAATTTCTGAATAAAATTCATTTTATACAGAGTATGAATAATAGAGGTTCGCAAATGTATTTATAATGGAAAATAGAAAAAAATATATGGGCTAACAACAAAATTAAGAGAATGACCAACTATACAACACTAACATGACTTGAAGAAACATTCACGTTATTTCAGAAGTTGGATGATTAACCGTGCATGATGCAATAACTTGAAAGACTAATGGTAATTATATTGAATAAAAAAGATTTTTCTGTTATCTTCTAATATTACTCGTATTTAAGAAAAGGAGGAAATATCTACCACAAACTATATGTATTTAATCACATGCACAAAGTAAGGTATGATAATAAATTTACAATGAACACATCCACCAAATTTTCCCCTATCAAAAACAAGCATTGAACTAATAAGATTCCAAATATCTAACACATTATCCTCTCCACTAAAAAACATCTTCAAAAACACAAATTAAATACCAAAGGTGATGATATGCCATATATTGAGCTAGGTTCGTTCTCATATCCATTTTTATGTCATATTATGACACCGACTATTTAAATGTTTTACAATGTCCCGTTGGACCCCGAAACCGGTTCTACCTTCGTAATCCTTACCCCCCGTCCCTCTGGCCATTTTGGTATCACCTACTTCGTTCCGGGCGCAAAGAAACACTGTAAGATGCCGGAGTCATATTATGACACCCAAAATTGATGTCAAAAGAACATGCCATTAGTGGCAAACTTGTCAGAGCCTTAGGGTTAGGTCTGGTGCAGCCATGTCCTTCCCAAGAAGCTGCTTCTTCATTCCATCATCTCCCACACATACTGGTTGGGCATGTAAACCGGGTTCGAACTTTGAGTGGGCTCTGTAATCGAGTGGGCTCATTGTTGGGTCAAACCCATTACTGAATGAATGGGCTTTGATTTCCAGAGGCCTGTTGAAGTATTTTAATACTTTAATTTCACTTAACAATTCATACTTAGAAAATACGAGCATAAAAAAAAGTAAATTTCAAAACTGATCCATTCTGATAAGATATTTTTCGAATCAGTATTCAATATGTTCTAATTACTTACGTGATATTTTACAAATGAGATTTTTTTAGATAGTACTCCGTAGAAAATTTTGCTTAAATGTTGATTAAGTGGATGGTATTTTAATATTTTTCATCATCTAAACTTAGTGCAAGATCTCACAATTATCATTTCTAATGAAGTGTTTTTTTCAAAATGATCAAATTTTTTAATATTTTGACAGGTTTTTTATAATTCATGGGTTATTTTTAGTTTTACATGAAATTGTACAGAAATGACAATTTTGAGAATTTAACTTAAGTTTATATAATGGAAATACCTAAATACATGTTCCAATTAATTGCCATTTAAGTGAATTTTACAACTTATTGAAGACTAATTTAATTTTGAGAAGCACTTACAAATTAAAGGACTATTTTAAGAAATTATTCTATACAAGTTGTTCTCATGATATTTTTTCTCAATGTCATTGGATGACTCAGTGGACCCTACTCTGCCTCGACCCGAACCCCCCTCCTTTTCCACCTTCAATTTCCAAATTTATTTGATTTTGTAGCCAAATTTATGAACGAGCACCGTAGGGTCTGTGGATCATCGACATTGAGATATAATACTTCCTCCGTCTCTTAAAGTCCTTATTTTGACTTTTAGAAGAATTAAGGCAGAGATATTTTGGTGTTGATTTTCCAAAAATACCCTTGATGTGATGGGTAAAATAAGATCTGATGGACAGAATATTAGTAAAAATGTGTATGTTTGAGTTAGTAGGGAGTAGTTTTTTTTTCAGAAGTAATATTGTGTTACCTGGTGGTGGGAGATGAGTAGGTATGTAACAAGCCTGGAGATGGGAAGGTGGGATGATGATGATGATGTTTGTGGTCGCCGCCGGAGAAGATGGCGGCCATTCGCATGGCTCTCTTGGCCAGCGACCGCTCCCTTTTGTGGGCGTTCTGATGGCCCCCCAGCGCCTGCGAGCTGTAAAATCCCCTCTTGCAGAAATTGCATGTGAATACTCTTGGGCTACTACTACTACTACTGCTCGCCGGCGCCGGCGCCGGCAGCTCACTGTAGCTATTATTATTACTGTTTCCGGCGGATTCATCCGAGCTGCCGCCGCCGCACCCGTTGTTCATGCCCAGCGACAGGTCGAGGTCAAACTCGTCAATACTGGAAGCAGATTTCATGAGTGTCACTGTTTGACCAAAAAAAATCAAAATAGGAATGGTTTTGTAGAACATCGAAAGTGGAAAACGTAACCTTGTTTTGGGAAAGATATGAAATGTATTGCGAGGAAGAATTAATAAATTGGAAACTTTGGAAAATAGTTGTACCTCTTATTCCCACTATAAAGATCTGATTTTGTTGTTGTTGTTGTTGTTGTTGTGAGATCAGAGACAAATTAAAGCTTCCTTCACCTGATGATGAATAAAGAAATAAGTTGCAGAGAAGAATAAGAAGGAAAAAAAATGAACAGAAATTATTGTTTTTCATGAGAGAAATTAAGTGCATATTTATTGATCATGTGTACATGTATGCATAGAAAAACATATGAAAATCAATAATTTAAAAAAAAAAATCAAGAATTGAAAAAAAGTATTAAAGAAATCAAAAAAAGAAAAAAGAATCTTGAAAATCAATCAAGAACTGAAAATCAACTAACCAGATAGATAGATAGATAGATGCTTGGTATGGTACTAGCTAGCTAGCTAGGAGACATCGTCCATGCATCTCTGTAATGGAGTGGTGTGGTTGTGGGGGTAGACTAGTAAATGTTCATCTTCATGGACAACATGGTTACATGTGTGTGTCTCAAATGCCCCACTTTATACTCCCTTTTTTATTTCTCTCCCTTCTTACAAGAATTTTTTCTTTTACTTTTTCATAGATTTTAAGAAAGAATAATCTTCTATAACTAAAATATTAAACTATAATTAAAATATTTTTCTGAGCTTACAACCATTGTAAATGAGAGATAAATAATACTTCCTCTGTCCCTAAATAAACTTCCATTTTTGACTTTTTGAGGATTTAAGGGAGGGATATTTTTGTGTTGACTTTCCAAAAATACCCTTGATGTGATGTGTAAAAGTAAGATGTGATAGGTAGATTATTAGTGAAAAGGTATGATGTGATAGGTAGGGTATGAAAAAGTAAGGGATAAAAGGGGTTTTTAAGGTAAAAGAGAAGTTTATTTAGGGACAAAGAAAAAACGAAAGGGAAAGTTTATTTAGGGACGGAGGGAGTAATATAAATCACTTATCTATTTTTTGAAATGGAATGAAAACCGAATTATTATTATTATTATTATTATTATTATTATTATTATTATTATTATTATTATTATTATTGGGGGACACTTTGGTAGCACGTAAGGGGATGTACCAAGATAATCATGTGAATGAACATTCTTTTTTTAAAAATGAGCTAATTAAGTGTCATTTTCAAATAGACATAATAATAATAATCTAAGGACATTAAATAAAAAATATGATTATTTGTAGTACATCTTTGGTATATTAATTATAATCTTTCACTTGAACAGACAACATTTTCATATATGATTATTATGCATCATTTTTATTTGTTTGACAACAAATATAATAACCTAATTTTAATTAACCATAATTTGAAACATATTCTTAAAGGGTGTGAGACTGTCCATTCAAACGATTTTGCAAGTGTTGGTTTTGTCATTTTTTATTAAAGGTAGCCAGGTAGGGTTTATGAAAATTGCAAAAATATTAAAAAAAAAATCAAACATGATACATTAAAAATCAGTCCTGATTTGATTATTATCATTACTATTATCTGTCGTGATTTGATTATCTTGCCTCTAAGGACTGGAAAGGTAAGTGTCAAATACTCACTCCGTCCCTAAAAACTTTTCTCCTTTTTTTTCATTCGTCCCAAAAAACACTTCTCATTTCTATTAAAAAGTCACTTTTACCCTTTATTTTTTCATACCCCACCTATCACATCATACCTTTTTACTAATAATATATCCATCAAATTATACTTTTACCCCTCACATCAAAGGACATTTTTGGAAATTCAATACCAAAATACATTCCCCTTAAATCCCTTTTCAAAATTAAAACTCCCATGTTTTCCGGGACGAAGGGAGTATATAACACTGGAGTTAGAATTCTGACAGTCAAAGATGATAAAAAAAGAATATACTTTGTTTGAAATTTTTGTACGCGGTATGTACTAGAGACAAGCTCTACTTTTTATTGATCAAATTGAGATTATATCTTTCTCCTCCGTTTCAAATTTATCGCTCACTTTCTTTTTTTAGTTTGTCTCAAAATAATTATTTTACTTCTTTACTTTACTAATAAAAAAAAGAATATATGGTCCACAATCTTTTTCTTTCGTCTAATTAAATTCCGATCCCTAACTTTTTATTTTTCAATTTTTTTTTTAAATTTTGTAGAGTCAAACTGGAACGATTAATTCAGGAGAGATGGATTAATTTGTTTTTATTTAAACCTTGAAAAGTTTGGGAAAAAAGGATAGAGAAGGGGGGTAGGGTTGAGAGGTGATGTTTAATAATGGCAAAGCAAAGGTTTGAGGATGTGGGGGTCTGGGGACATAATACAAGTCATAAAAAAAGACAGACAAGTGGTGGGCTTAAAATATTTAAGGAAACAGAAAAGGATTATGACATGATCAATGGTGTGCTAATTCTTTGGATCTCTTTTAGGGAGTACTATCTTCGTTCCAGTATATTTGTTTATCTTTAATTTCTTTTGGGTAAATTAGATAATTTTAAATTTTAATTACTCTTAATTTGTATTACATATTCGTATAATAAATAAAATGCTAATAGTTCTCAATATGATTTATCTAATAAAATCATTTTTATACATATATGCATTGCGGTTTTTATTTAATTAAAGATAAAATATTCATCAATTTGAGTTGAAAAAGTCAAATCAGACAAATATGCTAAGACAGAAAGAGTAAATAATACGGAGTAGTGATCGAGTAATATAATATAATAATTAGTTTTATTGAATGATAAATATTCCATTGTGGTATAACAATTATAGTGGTTTTATTGAATAGAAGAGAAAATCTCAATCACAGTGAAATATTCCGTCACATTTATAGAAATGATAAAATAGTGAAAGTAATTAACAATTAATATTATTTGTTTCCTACTCCTGCAAGCTCATCATCGGTAACGAGAAGCAACTTGAGGCACATGTACTGAAACGGAGCCGGCGAAAGCAATTTTTTAAGGATAGTTGCTAAAAGTAGAGAGACGAATCTTTGTTGCATGACGAACGAGTTTGAAAGTACATTTGATTAATCTTTTTAGGAGAGTGTTGGCAATTCGAACAATGGCAAGAAGTTTCTTTTTTTCTTTTTGTAGGTCGTCCTTTGCTTCTCTATCTCTTTTCATGCTTTTGAAGGCTAGAAGAAACACATACAGACGCATCTTTCTATTTATTCTCTACACACGTAATTTTTTGGGACAAAGAGAGGATTAAAGAACAACGATTGACTAAGAAAAATCAAATAAAAAGATCAAAGAAAAAGGGAAAAAAAGAACAAGTTGTGTTAATAATAAGATAGAACTATAGAAACCGTTACAGAAGCAACTAAAATTCATGGGTCCCACCTAGGATTCTATGTCTTCTCCTCTTGCTTGCTTTTTCCCTGTGCGTGCGTTTGTCGTGAACCACTTATTCACACATGATCATGCATATGTATGATTTCCTCCATTTATTTATTTATTTTGGTTAGGAATAGTCTTAAGATGAGAAAATGAAATCTCTTATGTTTTTTTCATCACTAATCTCTTGTTATGAATAGTATTAATAGAAAATTAGAATTTTTATTGCAATCTATAACAGAATAGTATTAATAGAAAATTAGAATTTTTATTGCAATCTATAATAATATGAGAAAGATACTTAGAATATGAGAAAGATACACACTTTTAATATAGACTTAAGAATTATAGAAACATGAATAATATTTTAACACACTCAAGTTTACCGATTAAAGAAATATTACTTCCTCCGTCCCCCTGTATTTGTCCACATTTGACTTTTGGAACTGTCCATCTAAGCAATTTGACTCATCAAATTCTCTCAATGTGTTAGCCTAAATATAGTCATGTGTGATCTTGTTTGATTTGTCTTAACATATATATTATTAATATATAATTTCTATAATTTTTTAATATACAAATTACAAGATAAAATTGATTAAAGAAGTGCATTGGATGATGTGCAAAAATGAAAGTGGACAAAAACTGGGAGACGGAGGGAGTACTATATAACGAAATGGGTAATACTCTTAATAACAATAAATACACCATAAGTAAAGATTGTCATTCTACGTAGGTTTTAATCTAGTTCAATTTCGATATTAATCTTGATCTTTTAGCATCATTTAGATACATTTTGTTTACGCAATTCTCCCAAATTAGAAGACTATTTTGTATACACACAATATCAAACTCAAAGGATATTTTCAATATATATCAAAATATTTTTGAATTTAATGAATGAAATAGATAAATATTTTTAATTTTAAAAAATGTTTTCAAAAGGCACATTACTACCAATAGCTGATTGGGCCGTTCGGGTCAAGCCTGTGGATTAGAGCCGTTCTTAAATTCGGGCCTGTAAAATGCCACAGCCCAGGTGGCTTATCTCCCGATTCCATGTTACGACTTCTGAATTCCCCCGAGTTCCGGCAATCTACCGGCCGCCGTCCGCCGTCCGCCGCCAGTAACTCTGCAATTTCTTGATTTTGGCATCCATTATTATATGATTGTTTTCTGGTTCCTTAGTGAAAGATTATAAGAACGAAAATTGTCGATCTTCGTTCTGGATTGTCACTGGGGCGGTAATTTAACTGGAAAGTTGAATGGAAGAGAAATTGAAATTGCTGGCTTTGGTTGGAGCTGGAGCTTTATTCGGCTCTGCTGCTACTGTTTCTCTCTTGAAGCTTTTCCCTGGGTAAATTCCATTTTTTTTCTTAATAAATTCAATTTAATTTTCTTGAAATTCTTTAAAAAAAAATTGCTTTTTTTCAATAGTTCAGCTTGAATGTATTTATTTATTATTTCTATATGTGAACTCTTGCAGGGCGGTTACCCATGAGGATACCAAAGAGGCAATTAAAGCAAATGGTAATTTGTTTTTTTAAAAAAACATTACTTTACATTTCTCTGGAACTTGGCAGATGGCTTATAAAGTAATGGAAAAGTCACTGAAAATTTTGAATTTAATACAAGTAGATGCATTTGCTCTGTATTTATTTATGCAATTCGCTTTTATGTCCAACGGATATACTCTATGCATTAAGATGAATAGATGAAGATAATGAGGGTCATGATATGGAAGGAGATGGAAATGAGGAAAAAAGTTTCAATTTTAGATCACAAGTGCAATGGATGATGCTATTGATTTTGAGAACTACTCATAGTATTTAACAACTTAGAATCTTTAAATCTTAATCATGTTTTACTTTTTAGTGTTTTCTTATGGTTGGGCATGCATATTCTATCCTTTCGTGTCCTTTTGACTTATTGTTTTGGTCTTTTAAACCAACACTATCCGTGTATTTATTGCAATCTATCTAGTTTTAAATCTCATGCTTCTTCCCATTTAATTTGGAATCTTGATTAGTTGATTTTAAACAAATGTGTATCCGTTAACTACAATTGCTTTCTATCTGCAAAATATCTTCAGGTACTAATCCTGTCCTAGGAAAGAAGCCTGCAATGACTCCGCCTGACTTGCTAAGCGATGAAGTAGTTTGTGAACAATTAACCAGGTATCAATGGAATATAGTTTGAGTAGGAATCATATACAATTCTTAATGCATATATGTGTTCTTCATAAATTTGTAATTCAATTAAGGTCACTGAACTGCTCCATAAAGCATTTTTCCAAATAATACTGATGGGTATTATTGGGACTGACCCAAGAGTATAAACGGGTTAGGTCCAATATACCCAGACCGTTCCATTATTGTTATTTGTATTTGGGCCCAGATCACCAAAGACCGAACGATCAGGTGAGTATATCAACCCGTGTGATATGGGTCGGGCTAACCCGACCCGGAAGTGAGGTCCAAATCCACTAGAGTAAGGGGCGAGGTAGGCACTAGTGTTAGGGGACATAGAAGCGTTCCCAAATCAGTTATACATGATCCACTTGTCTCTCATAGGAAAGTGTATCGCAATAGCCTCCTTGATTGCCTCTTTGACCCATGGATACTCCTTTCGGGGTGGAGAAGGGATGAAGTCTTAATATACAATGGGGTTCATATAGCTTATCCCTCTTATTTTTACAATATATTCTCCATCTTAGTTCTTATATATTCCGGATGATTAAAGTTCATCAAATACTAAAAGATTGAATCCAATCAATTAGCTAATCCAACTCAAGGTCTTGTGTTCCCATCCATTGGCTAGTCGAATGCAACACCTTATAAACACATGTCTCTCGTCACTCTCTCTTGAAATTTCTTGTGTGCAATTCTTAAAAGTTCTTGTGGGGGTTTGTTTTTTGCACAAGGATGGGATTATTCATTATCACTCGGCTTTTATTCATCAACCCACTTTTTTTTTCTATTTTTCATTAGGAATATTCAATTCTTTGGGCTTGATTCCCAACAAAAAGTTACTGCATCATATGTTGTGGTAATTGGTCTAGGAGGAGTTGGGAGTCATGCTGCAGCTATGCTTTTGAGGTCTGGTGTTGGCAGGTTACTGCTTGTGGATTTTGACCAGGTAATGTAATGATGATTTTTCCTATAACATGTTGGTTAACACTGATATATGACTTTACTTTTCCTTTCCATTACTCCAACTCCCTCAAAAATGAAAGGGGCCCTTTCACATGTAGTAGTCAATACTATTTCCTTGTCGTTTTAGGCATTACTTCCGAATTAATTGTCGTTTTAGACATTTCTTTTTTGTCTGAAAATAAGTGTCGTTTTAGGACTTCAATGCATTTCTTATGAATAGTCATTTTTATTATATTATGTCTTCCTGCATTTGCTGTTGTCTGACTGTAGCTTGTGTGCTTTCTGTGTTTTCCTGTGCTCATGGTCTAGTTGCTAGTGTCGGTATGTATGCGTATTTGTGCTCTTACTTTGTTTCTTTACTTTGTCTTTGCTTTTGTGTTTGAGTCGAGGGTCCCTTGGAAACAACCTCTCTACTTCCATTTAAGGGTAAGCTCTGCATAAACACACCCTTCCCACGCCCCCTACCCTTGCGGGATTTTTACTGGGTTTGGTGTTTCTAATCAGGGCTGCTAGCTTATTTCCAGCTTAAATAAGTTATAAGTTCTTAATTAAGTGTACAAAGCACACTCTATATCTGCACAACTAGCTTTTGTGTTCTAGCTTTTTATCCTCATTTAGTGATTGCATTCTTAAGGTGACAGTTTCATCACTGAATAGACATGCTGTTGCAACAAGAGAGGATGTCGGTACCCCAAAAGCCTTCTGCCTTGAGAAGCATTTTCAATCAATATTTCCAGAGTGTCACGTCGATGCTAAAGTTCTGTTATATGATTCATCTTGTGAAGAAGAAATCCTTTCTGGCAATCCTGACTTTGTCTTGGACTGTATTGATAACATTGACACTAAGGTAGTTTTTTCTTAAAGTTCAAATATATCAAATTCTCTATAGTCAAGACTTATAAATTTCCAATTTTTTAAAATTTTCCTTTTATTCCAAATGTTCTTCAGGTGTCTCTTCTTGCTGCATGTGTACGCAGGGGTTTAAAAGTAATTTCTGCAACAGGAGCTGGGGCGCGTCTGGATCCCACTAGAATACGTGTGGCTGACTTAAGAGAGTCAGCTAATGATCCATTGTCTCGAGCTGTAATATTTGTTTGTGGTTCATACATTATCCATCATATATATTGATTATATTCTACTCCTATTGAGTCCTACCTATGGGAATTTTTAAAAAGCGACGTATAAACCAATTCAGTGGATCAACTCCTTTGGCTCCGTTTGATTACCATTCCTCGAATTTATTTTTTTATTTGAAAAAAAGAAGAAGAAAGAAAGAAGAAAGTGTTCTCAAACGGAGCCTTATTGACTGCTCTTGTTCATCAAACCTGACATCGAAATGACTGGCAACCAACTATGTTCTAATTGAACACGAAAATGAATAAAAGGGTGTTTGAGACATTTATTCTTTGTTGATTACACAGGTAAGACACCGCTTGAGGAAAGATCACGGCATTGATAGTGGCATTCCAGTAGTTTTTTCTTTAGAAAAGCCGAAAGCCAAGCTTCTCCCCTTTAGAGGAACAACTGGAGAGGAAGAAAACCCTTCAGATTACCAGGTAAGATTTTTACTTGTTATTAACATAGCAATGCCAATTGGCCATTTGGGAGCCAGTTTTTCCCCGGTTTATAAGCCTTATCATTCTACTCCATAGAAGGGGTAAAGTTGGCATACACATACTTTCTCCTGACTCTACTTTATGAGATTCTACAGGGTTTGTTGTTGTTGTTGTTGTTGTTTAATCAAACACTTGCCTTTATGTTTGGATATATCAGATAGTACCGGGTTTTAGGGTTCGCATAATTCCAGTTCTAGGACAAATACCTGCAATTTTCGGGCAAGTCATGGCTTCGTACGTTGTGACCCAACTTGCAGGGGTGCATGTTCAGATGGAGCCTGTCGTCAACTTTGACATGGACCATTACCATACCCTACACCAGCGTCTCATCGAGCACGAAGAGTTGATATATGGGACATCCATGCAAGTTGAGGTACCCACCCTCCATTTTTTATTCATTCAAATATTCTCCTTGATCTTTTGAAACATTTGGCTTTTCGTCATCAAAGATATTGAACTTTGAGTAAAAAGTATAAATTGTCAACTTTTATGAGATTACTTACTCTCAACAAAGAACACTTTAGTATTATTTTCGCATAACTCTTTTTTTTTTGTTAAAATATATTATTGGCCAACGGTGAGCGTATTTGTCCCACAAAAAGTCAAATAAAACAAACCAAACAAAACACGCCTAGTAATCTATTATGCTATGTAGATGTTTAATGGTATGGAAAATGCTACTTTAACCTCAAGGATGACACCATCCACTAGAGACAATCACGCACACACAGTCGCATTGATTGTGAAGAATCATTGTGTGTGAAACGCGGGTGGTGTCAACTTTGGTGTCATCCATGGTGTGACTGTAGCATGGACCCTAATACCTAATAAATGGTATTTAGAATGTTTGGTCTTGTGCTCACAATCCAATGTCTGTTGACTGTTAAGGTAGATGTTGAAGAAGTTAGGTATGTAGCTAAAGAGTTATGGCATGGGAGAAGTGCCAGGGACCTCACGGCTAGAGATGTTGGGCGTGCAATGTGGCGCTCAATCAACGAGTTGATGCTTGTCAGGTATCGATCTTGGTTAACGAATGATCCTTCGACTTATAAGGCTCTGTTTGGTTACCTAAATTACATTTTGCACAAAAGACTTATCGTACTTTTTATCGACAAACAAAACTTTATCTATGTACTTGTATTTATTTATTTATTTATTTATCAGATGGGATAGAACAAAGCCAGCATCTGTGTCAAACTTGATCCTTTTGAGATTCAATGAGGTATGAGTACATTTATCCCTCAATGCAAAAAAGGGTAAACAAAATTGTGAGAAGAGTTCCCTATTTATTTTTTTTAAAAAAAAACCTTGCGCGTTTTGACTTTTATAGAATTCAGAAAAAGTGCTGAAAAATGAAAAATGTACGGTTTGAATTTGTTTAGATGAAACGTAAATGTGAGCAAAATGTTCTTTATTTAAAAAAAAAGTGTTTTTTTTTTTGCATTTTGTGTTTGTGTGAATTAGGCGGAAGAGCACGAGTTGAAGACGGTTGAAGAAATAAAGGAGAGAGAGCCACAATTCTTTGACAGGGTGGTTTCTGTGTTAAAGGGAGCAGAGTTGGAGTTTGGCTCCATCCATTAAAGCCGTCTGTTTTCTTGAGCTTTGCACCGTGTCTAAGAAGAGGGGAGGCCATTGTTGTTTTGTACGAGTAGTTTAAACTTTAAACTGACAATTCTATTTTTTTTTGGTGATACATTAAAAATTAATGTTCAGTGTGTGTAGTGAAATTTGCACTTAATAGGACTAAAATATAAATCATTCCCCAATATAAGACTTAATAATACTCCCTCCGTCCCAATTTAAATCGCCTGTTTTGACTTTTGAGCATATTTAATGAAAATAAAAAATAGAGTTGATTTTTCGAAACTAACATTATTTTTTAGAAGGGGTGATGATGAATGAAAAAATAAAATGAAGAAGATTGACTTATTTTAGGGGTAGTTTAGGTATTTTATTTTTAAAAGTTTACGGAAACAACTACTCCTATTACATAACATGCAACTTATTTTGGGACAGAAAAAAAAAGCAAACAGACAATTTAAAATGGCACAGAGGGAGTAACTTTTTTATTCTCTAAATAAGACTTTATAATGACTCGTTAGAATAATAATGTTCAAGTGATGCTAAACATTTAGTTGAATAATGACTAAAAAATAATAATCAATGGTCCTACATTGGGAAATAAAAACATATGATTATATATTGAGAAAGTCATTATATATTACTCCCTCCGTCCTAAAATTAATTTCTCATTTTGACTTTTACAGTCAAAGTTTTTAAACTTTGATTGTATATTACGAAAAAAATAAATTGAATTTTCATATAAAATTGGAGATATTAATGATCAAAGTACCCCAATGGAGACCGTGAAAAATCAAATGCGAAGTTAATTTCAGGACGGAGGGAGTAATTTTATTGAGGTAATATAAAATTGGAGATATTAATGGTCAAAGTATCGCATTAGAGATTGTGAAAAATCAAATGGGAAGTTAATTTAAGGACGGAGGGAGTAATTTTATTTAGGTAAATCACACACACATAACGTCTAAAATAATACAAGTTACTTATACATCAGTTGTTTACACTAGTTTGTTAGCGGTACTTATAGTGCCCCATTTGTAAAAATGATGGTTCATACCCCCTAATCCTCCTCCTAAATCCCCCACCATAGCCCCACCCTTGCCCCCCTCCCGCCCCTGGCAATAATATCAATAATAATAGCATTCCAAAAAATTTATTATCAAAATTTATAATAATAATAATAATAATAATAATAATAATAATAATAATAATAATAATAATAATAATAATAATAATAATAATAATAATAATAATAATAATAATAATATGGCAAATATAATTTATGGCAAATTGGAGAGTAGGGTATATACCCATAGTTCCACTCAGCACAAACATATGAACCGATGCAAAGAACGATGTAGAGGCCAGCATCTCGTACAGTTTTGATGACTCTCAGAAAAATCAAACCGCCCCCGAACCGGCTCATGCATCTAGTCCCCCTTCCTTTGCTTTCTTCATCAAATCAGGCCACATCTATCATTGAAAATCTACCTTGTACGTGCATCAATAATGCATGCTAAAACAAAAACAATTATCTTATGCACTAAAATGTACGTTACGTACGGAGTAATTATTTATTAATGCCCAATTCCATCATGATCATACTATATATATGTATATACCTCGGCGGTGCTACGAGGATAATGAATGGCGCCGGAGAGAAGAACTATAGGTATACCGTTGATGGTTATGGCTCTTCTATCGTGGCTCACTTCTATTGGTGACGAAGATGATGAAGACAAAGCCATGCGGCTTAAATCGTTCATCACCGTACTGATAAGTAGATGATAAGTTTTGAGTACTCCATGGCCTGTAATTAAGGTCAGGTCTTAATGATGATGATGATAATGAGTAACAATAGTGGAGTGATTTAAGTGAGAACTAATTACGTAGTGATGAGAGTGGATGGTTTATACTGTATATAGTATTGCTCAGTATGGAATTTGCTGGAGCAATACAGATAAGTACGGGGTAAAATTTATTTTTTATTTGTTTGTTTGAAAAGTTTGAAACAAACAAATGACGGGAGGTAAGAACCATTATTTCTTTGTTTCAAACTTTTCAAACAAACAAATAAAAAATAAATTTTACTCCATACTTATCTATATCGCTGCAACAAATTCCATATTGAGCAATACTATATATAAACCACCCACTCTCATCACTACGTAATTTGTTCTCACTTAAATCACTCCACCACTGTTACTCATCATCATCATCATCAAGACTTGACCTTAATTACAGGCTATAGAATACTCAAAACTTATCATCTACTTATCAGTACTAGTATTAGTGATGAACAATTTAAGCTACCTGGCTTCGTCTTCGTCATCTTCGTCGCCAATAGAAGTGAGCCACGATGGAAAAGGCATAACCATCAACGGTATACCCATACTTTTTCTCTCAGACGCCATTCATTATCCTCGTAGCACCGTCGAGGTATATACATATATATAATCCGATCATGGTAGAATTGAGCATTAATATATAATTACTCCGTACGTAAGATACGTTTTAGTGTATACGATAATTGTTTTTGTTTTGGCATGCATTATTGACGTACGTACGGGATCGATCATCAATTACAGATGTGGACGAATTTGATGAAGAAAGCAAAGGAAGGGGGCCTAATACGATCAAGACGTACGTATGTTGGAATGCGCATGAGCCAGTTCGAGGGCAGTTTGATTTTTTTGGGAACCATGATTTGGTTAGGTTCATCAAAACCGCACGAGATGCTGGCCTCTACATCATTCTTTGCATCGGTCCATATGTTTGTGCTGAGTGGAACTATGGGTATATACCCTACCCTCCGATTTGCCATAAATTATATTTGTCACATTATTACTATTATAAATTTTGATAATCATTTTTTGGAATGCATGCCAGTATACTATACTGCCAGGGTAGGAAGNATATATAGGCCGGTTCCTGTAAAAATGCAGCTTGTGGAGAGAAATGAGAATGAAATCTAGCCGTTGGATCTGATGCATCGTGCGGCTCAGATTGCATCCTGCGCCTAGATTTTGAGATAGTGCATTTTCAAAGGATTTTGGTGCATTTCGACTTGATGCATTTCGAAACCATTTTGGTGCATCTAATTTTGATGCAATCCTGACCCTTAGATCTCACAATCTTAGATCTCTCCTAAGATTGCATTCTCACCAGAACCAAAATCTATATATATATATATATAGATATATATAGGGCCGGTTCCCGTGAGAATGCACCTTGTGGAGAGAAATGAGAATAAAATCTAGCCGTCGGATCTGATGCATCGTGCGGCTCAGATTGCATCCTGCGCTCAGATTTTGAGATACTGCATTTTAGAAGGTTTATGGTGCATTTCGACGTGATGCATTTTCGCACCATTTTGGTGCATCTAATTTTGATGAAATCTTGACCCTTAGATCTCGTAATTTAAAGCACCAGATTCATTCTCATTTCTCTCCTAAGATTGCATTCTCACCAGAACCAAAATATATATATATATATATATATATATATATATATATATATATATATATATATATATATATATGCAAGATTTCATCAAAGGAATGGGTAAAAAAGGGCATTCAAAAAATATGGTAATGATCATCATCTTACCAAACTACTACTGCCTGGCTGCTTCATAACCCTAAATCTCTGCATCAATTCCCTCACACTAGCAGACTCTTCCCATTTCCCGGCATCGGCATAAATATTCGACAGCAACACGTAAACCGCGGGATCGTCTCTTTCACTTTCGAGCAGAATCCCAGCAACAATCCTTCCCAGTCTTGCATTCCCATGAGCTGCACAAGAACTCAACAAACCCCACCAAACAGTGGAGTCCTCCACCTCAACATTCTTCTCTTTTACCATCTTTTCTGCCTCGTCCAGATACCCGGCTCGGCTAAGAATATCAACGATGCAAGAGAAGTGTTCCACTCTGGGTTTTACCCCATGAGTATTTACCATGGAGTTAAAAATCCGAATCCCGTCTTTTACCAGACCTGCATGGCTGCAAGCTGATAGAACTCCAGTGAAAGTGGCAGTGTCTGGTCTAACTCCAACTCCACTACAATCTAACATCATTTCAAAAACATCAATGGCTTCCCTTCCTTTCCCATGGTGTGCATATGCAGATATCATTGAATTCCACGTGACCAAATCTCGTACGGGCATGGTCTGGAAAACCCTCACAGCCCAATGTAAAACCCCACACTTTGAGTAGAGGGCAATCAGCGTGTTCCCTAAAGATGGCTCCAAAAATAACCCAAATTTCAGAATGTATCCGTGGATCTCTTTCCCGTGCGGAAGAGAAGGGATATTCGCACATGAACTCAAGACTGTGCTGAGGGTGGAAGCATTAGGGGTTAGCCCTGTTGCCAGAAGCTCGCCGAAGAGGTTTAAACCCTGCGTGGGGAATCCGTTTGATTGAAAACCGGAGATCATTGCATTCCATGTGACCATGTTTCTTGTGAACCTGGTGTCACAGAAAAGCATGTAGGCCTGCTCTATTTCTCCAAACTTAGAAAAGGAAGAAATCGCCGAGTTAGAAACTTCGGTTTTCAAGATTAATCCGTTCTTGATTGCGATGGACAAAATCATCTCGGCGCCGGATACGGACTGTGGAATTGACAGCAAGCTTCCTAGAGTGAACTCATCTGCAGAAACCTGTTCCCTCTGCATTTCAATGTATGCTGAGATTGCTTCTCCACACATATTCTCTTGGGTATAGCTTGTTATCATTGAATTCCACGATACAACATCTCTCTCTTTTATTCTCTGGAAAACCAACCATGTCGTTTCCAAGTCACCACAGTTGGAATACATGGCTATGGCAGCATTGCTCACCGAAGTGGAATCATCAAAACCGTGTTTCACTGCAAGAGAATGGATTTGGGCTGCAACCGTTGCATCAGAACAGGAACTCATTAGACTGACAAAAGTCAACCCGGTTGGCATCAGACGAACATTTTGCATACGCTTGAACATTGTCAGAGCCTCTTGGTTTCTTTCCATGCTGACGAGCCCGGCAATCATTGCATTGTAAGTTATTTGATCAATCACTCCACCACCTGCATCTTCAAAAACTCGGAACGCGTCCGAAACAGATTTACAGTTATAATACATTGTTAGCAAAGCATTGGTGACAGAAGTTCTACTCAAAAACCCTGTTTTGACCACTGCTGAATGCACTTGCCTGCCAAGCCTC